CACACACACACACACACACACACACACACACACACACACACACACACACACACACACACACACAAACAAACAACTGACCTAAATAACCTCGACAGGAAATACTGCTGATAGCCTCTGGTCAACTCAGCCGCGCCACCGCAGAATGTTCGTCCAACTCTGCAGGGGGCATTCTCAGTGGCTTCAAACGCGCTGAAATGTTTTCGCCTTTGCATCCAAGATGGCGGACAAGTGAAATCGTATGAAATTTGGCTATTTTAGGTCCTATCTCTTTTTTGATTACCCAATAAAGTCAATTCATAGTTACACGGTTGTGAAGAAGCTTACAACTTTATAAGACTTATTCATCTCATTCCAAAAAAGCTACTCGCGCTCACATAAAGTTGTAGTTATTATGTCACTGTTTTATTTCTTTAAAAATATATTACATGTTCAACAATAACAATTAAGATGAACATTCAATTTCCGATATAAGTAAATGAATAAGTGTGTTTTCCGCCACAATCAGTCAAAGACCAACGTTGTCCGGTCTGATGACACACAATCTACCAGGTAGCACATTGTGTACACCCTATCCCCATTGAAGTCTCCACTGTGGGTATTCCTGGGGACGAAAAGGCCCCATGTACCTAGGAATTTTATCAATACATTCATGCGCGGCATTCTCTGCCTAAAGAAGATCATATAGTTAACATGCTAGTCCAACTCGAACTACCATCCCGCTCAAGATGAATGTTTTATGTTACATCCAACAGGCCCACATTTACGCACGCATGCACGCACGCACGCGCACACACATATTTGGATTTACCAATCCCTGAATTGAGAAGACGTGCGTTACGAAGTTCCTCCAAGTCATCATCAATATCCGTATATGTCTGTGATATCATTACCCATCCAAAGCCGAATATACATTTATTGTGTTTTCTTGACAACAAATGTTATAATTGGGAATATAGTAAAGTACAGATTCTCGTACTTTCTTGGGTTGAGTCCCGCCTGGGATTTGAACCCACACTGTGAGTGAGGCACCCAATCGCCAGAACACAAAGTTGGCGATCTAACCCAGCCACCGAACCAAAAATGTTAGTCCAGATGACGTATACTTTGTGTACTCCTCTGACAAGAGAAAAATGGCACGGCTTCTATGACCGAAAGCTTTGAACCAACCATGCCTTTAAGAAAGTGGTCAACAGTAACACACATTATATTTGGATACCACTTTCTCAGTAAACTACATATTTTTAGGGTGGAGATAATAGACGTTGATTGTTGATTATCAATGGACAAATTAAAGCTAAAACTTAACTTATGAATGATTGGTAATGGGAAATGGACAATGGGCAAACGGGAGGCGGGGTAATCAGCGCCATGCCAGTTATCTGTTGGCTTCCCTTGTTGCGTTCCCTTCTTTGCTATCTTTTTACTTTTGTTGTTCTTACAGGTACAAATATATGTTCTCTGCCTCATAGCATTTAATAATATGCACCTGATGAAGGAGAAAGTATATATTCCGAAACGCAGTGTTCCTCCGTTGACATCCATAAATAGTTTTCCTTGTGTCTATCAGTTCTTAATGCCCTTCAAAGACTCAATCTAGCTTTGTTTTTAAATGTGGTGATATTTGCGTAGAATATAATAAGGTCATGCCTATATACATTTGGGTCTTTGTCTACATAAGCATTTAGACATACAATTTAGAGCTAAGGACATTGCTAATTCTGCAGGCATGAAGTACACGTCATAGCAAGCTGTGATCTTTATTCATACTTTAGATATTCGTAATGGAGATCTGTAACTGAAGTTTACCGTAATCTTCCGCAACTCTCACCTCCTGACCAGTTGAACGTCTTAGTGCATTCAGATGCCATTTTAAAATTCCAGGCTGCCCCTCTTTCTGTGATGTTTTGACGGATGAAATCTATTGCGTTATAATAATCTCTGTTTGCTGATATATAATATGTACATGTTGTAAAATGTTTACGATATGTTAAACGTGTAATTCGATGCATATGCAATGCAATGTGAACATAAGTGCGGATGCACGAAGGCGGTTATAGTCATAGTTATACTGCGATGGATGTAGGGGAATGGTAGGGGTGTGTATGTATGTATGAAAGCACGAATACCGATACATGAGGGCGGATATAGTTATAGTTCGATGGATGTTGGGGAATGGTGAGAGGATGGATTATGTATGAAAGCATGCGCATGGATCCATGATGGCTGACGTAGACATAATGGTGGGGAAAGAAGAATGTGATGATTGTGTGAGTAAGTTAAGTGGTTGAGGATGTGGCAGGTATGAGTATTGATACATGCAGACTTGGGGTTGGGGGACTGGGTGTGCCTGTACTGAGGTCTTTTGTTTCACTCACTTATAGTGTTTTCTTTCACCCAAATACTGTTTTACGCATTTTAATGACTGAAACTGTAGTGACTCAAAGGTCATACTGGCCGGGCATTCAACATATCTACCCAAACTACATACGTAGCCATTTTTATGGTGTACAATTCTTCTTCTACCTCACACACACACACACACACACGCACGCACGCACGCACGCACGCACGCACGCACGCACACGCATTAATTGTTGTATTAAATGTATCTTCGAGAGTCAGTAAGAAACTAGAAATAACTGCCTTTGTTCGGTAAACCTCACCAAGTTTCAGCTTTCGCCTCTTCCTTTGTGGACTGAGGTTTCACATTTGTAAAATGATCTCTCTTATCTGTCTGTACCATCAACTTAACTGCCCTCACCCCCTGCAGTTTTCCCGTCCCATATTGCCAAGCAGGTGACCCACAAGGAGGAATACCGCCCTCCCTCAGTCCAGTGATACTGTGCCTAGCACAATATGTTGTGAATACGTAGCCTTGCTGTGGGCAAACATTTTGTATTAATTTGGCAAACTTTGATATGTAAACAGCAAATATTATTCAGTTTTATTGCAACAAAAACGAAAAAAATCGGATCCTACTTATTTTGTGGATACCATAACAATAAATCAAGCCAATAGATCGTTTGAGCTGGCACGAATATAAAAAATAATTAGCAAGTCGATAGTCATATTTCCCTCTGTTGGTCCCACGTGAAATGTTCTTCATGAATAGAATAGATGGCTGATAGACGTTCGACCGAATAATATCATTTGCTTACTTCAACTGTTCATCTAATTTCCATGAATGTATGTTACATAGTTCATATGTTCATGGGCTTCTTCACTGAATGTATAGTGTGAAGGACTACTTCACTTGAGGATAAGTAACATAAATAATGATGATAATTATCATAGTATTGCCATTATTATTCCTTCAGATTATTAAAAAAAAGAGAAAAAGAGAGAGAGAAGAGGTATGGAGATTGTGAGATTATTTTTAGCATCGGAATTGTTAACATAATTCTTAAATATATCATGTTTTGTTTGTTTGTTGTTAAATGCTGCACTCAGCAACGTAAGGATATTAAAACATTACATTTAGGTTCAGTTGTATTTTTATATTTGTATCATTTGCAAATGTTACAGAGACCTGATAAGGGATATATAATAATGTATAGTCGCTATTCTTAAAGTAAGAATATATTAGATTTATCAACCAGAAATATTGCACACAAGAGGATAATCAGATTTCATGACACTATTCAACGTCGAAGTCAACGATATTTGTGTATGTTATTGTACATGACACGGATACGTCATGATAAAGCAATTAGAAATTGGCATTTGATGATATAAGATAGCTACGCGATAAATCACAAAGAACAAAGAAGGAAGCGATATTTATTTCACGATAAAACATTGTTCTATCATGACGTCATTTATTGAGATTCGAACACGCACTCGCAACTTGAAAAGTAAAATTTGCAAATTTGACCTTATTTTTGAGAGGTATGTGTCTAGTGAGTTGTTCCCAATAAATGTTGCTGGAGAATCCGAAAATGAGAGTGATATGACAATCGGTATTGGGAGAAAAGGTACACATGATTGACGAGAAAATTGTGAGAATATGCGGGACCAAACTCAAATCCTAAAATGGATTTATCTAGCATGGCCGCTGTCGGATTCTATTCAAGGAATCATCATTATTTAAGTACGGGTAAATATTGTAAAGCGTGTATTTTTTACTAATTTAACACCATAAAAGAGGCTGTACGTAATGTTGATATCTCATATAGAAATAAACGAGTCTCGGTCGTTGTTTATCGTACAATAAACAACTCCCACTCGTCGTTTGTTTCTTAATTACATGACCATATACACTAACATTATATCTTTTCATGTTTATCGGTCAACAAAAGCGACATAAGCATTTCCGTTATCATGAGAAACCCTTGCCAAAAGTAGCGTTAACTGCACCATTGCGACAACATCAGGAGCATGTTTCATGATTCATCATAATAAATGATGATATTGGATGCTCGCAAAAACGCGAGCTCATTCCGATCCACTAGTGGACTCGCCACAAACACATCCAAAGGCAAGCCAATTGTTCACCCGAAAAGGCAGAAAATTGCATCTGACATCATTTTTGGCATTGATACGTCAAACCTGGAAATGCCGACAACACGTCCAACACAAAGCCCAAGCCAGGACCCAAATTCTTCAAACCCGGCCAAAGTTCTGTTAATTACATACATTTCCCCCTAACCTTAAATAATCTATACTAGTTCTGAAGTAAATCGTATTTACCCGTATGAATCGTCTTATGTTATTTATTACCGATAAACAGAATATGCACACTTTCTGAAAGTACTGTGTGATAAGTCACGCACCAAACCTATACTCTCGATATACATGCTGCTCTTACTTAAAAAAGAATATTGGGTTAACAAGATACGTATATTAAAGTACCATGCTTTCCTGATGTGCTCTCATTCTAATTTGAAACAATGGCATAAATAGTTACCACTCATCTTTTTAAATATTTTTCAAGGTTGGGTTAATCACGAACATATTTGAATATGTACAACATCTATACTTACTTATCTTTATACTTAAAGGCATCAGGTTTGTCTGTCATAAGACCCCGAAACAAATATGTCCAACACAGCCCAATATTTGGCTCTTGGCTCCTTGTTCTTATATTTTATAAGTATTGATTAAACAACTGTTTTTTTCTGTAAAATATGTTCATTTCAGAAATTAGATGTTATTCTAGCATTAGGTCTGTGGTACGTTTACTGCATCAGCATTACATTAAAACGATATTACATTATAGAAATCCATACAGAGGAAATGCTTAACATTTATCTTTTAAGGAAGAGTGCAGGACGACTTGCTTTATACATATAAATGTGGACATATATGTATGGACATTTGGATGATACAGATATACCTCCTTAAAGATAGTGTTCGTAGATGACTGTAGAAAATAGAATAATTATGTGAGTAATCGGGTTAATACAACGTTCAGCAATATTTAGCCATATTGCGATATTGGTTTCCAACATACAAGATGGACCATGAAATTATGACTTGGACCTGGCTTTCTGGTGTGATGTAACACCCCAGAATCTCCGGTAGAAAAAGGGCTCAAAGCACGAATTAAGATCACGAGATGATACTGATGTATGCATCTTGACATATATTTGCGTAGTATTACTACCTTAATTCATCAGTATATATGTATTTTGCATAAAAGGATATTATAGGATCGACGCTGACATGCGCATATAACCTATTCACCAGTGCTGTAATATTTCATTTCTTCTGACACATATCGACACGAGAAATTATATTTAAATTTAAAAGGAGCCCAAGTGGGATAGAAATTTGAGTCTGAACCTGTTGAACAAGGCTTGTTTCATTTTGGGCTATAGCATTGCCGCAAGGCCTGGGCGGAAGGGAACACAACTTCTCTCTCAAAACGAAAACAAAATACGAAAAATGTCGGAAGTGTATCCTTCTAATTTTCTATTTAGATACATGTTTTAACTTTAAAGTAATTATATGTATCTCATGTATTATTGGTATCTGTGATGCTGGTACCGTTTTGTTGCCATTGTGTAGCTTTTGTAGATTATTATGAATATCAAATACATGCCTTGAAATATGGACTTGTGAAAGAACTCATCATTGAATCATTTGCATTTAAATTAATGCATATACCATTTACTTGGCGTGTATGGACATATTATCCATCTACTTATACACACTTATTATGGACATATACAGAATTTCATTTTACCTTATTATTTAAAAGAATACGCGTGAAGATCCGGGTTAGAATAGGCATTCAACAAACCTTCTACGAAGGCGACTTGGCTCGCTGACCTGGTTGATGCATGTCATCGTATCCCAAATGCGTAGCTCGGTGCTCTTGATGATAATGACTAAATTGTTTGGTCCAGACTTGATTATTTACGAACCACCGTCATATAGCTGGTATATTGCTGAGTGCGGCGTTAAAAAACAAACAATCAAACAAAATCTATATAATTATTAAACACCTTCCAACAATGAGAAATTAAACTTATATTTTTTATAACATAATTTGATTCATAATTTAATTATTGCGTTGCTTTCTTCCCTGTCATTCAATGTGCATGTTCAAACCCCTAAACTTTTAATATTTCATTTTTCATAAATGGCTACGTTAGTGCGTTGCCTAGATCTCTCGTTACCTACTCACAAGAATATATTAAAATAATTTGTTTTACTATCATATTTCTGTTTATCTAATTCATAATACGAAATTGATAATTCATTTATAATAGTATAGATCATATTCGTGTGTATCACTATCTGATGCTAAGGTTTTATTTCAGAAAATATAATTAATTCAAAATGTAGAAAGATACACAATTTGCCATTATTTGACTTTTAAACTGTAAAAAGTATGATATAATGATCAGAATTCCTGTAACGGGTAGTATTTAAGAAAGAAATATTTGTCGAGAAGTCCCATTTTTCAGATATGCCCTTCAGTAGTATTATTGCATATCTCCATAGAGAGGTTTACATTGTAGTTCTCATTATTTGTGGATAATTCAAAAAGCAACATAGAAAATATATATGCTACCATGACGAAAGAATACAGAGTATACATAACTCGCAATTCTATATATTCAGCAAACAGCCCAAAACCGAAACTCCACAACATATCCGATTACACTGATTAAGGCTGTCCCAGTTCTCCATGCGATACTGACGCCCGTTCGTCTCCCAGACCATACAGAATAAATTTAAAAGGAATCCAGCTCAAGTCTAGAACGATTTGGCAAGCCTAGATTGCCTTAATTCTATCCATGAAAGTAAGCATTAATGAAAAAATATTGTTCTTGTCTGCTTCAGATTATATTTTGTAGATACTTATTTTAACTAGGAAAATTGTACTGACACCGGCGCTGTCCCTATTGAAGCTATCCATAAGAATTTCGAATTGCCGTCCATTGTTCGATGTCAATACAGCGATGACAAGTGAGGATATCATAAAGTAATCGTTGATGCCGCGCTACACTTTGATAAAAATTATAATCAAGTTGACTGGTGTGTACATTACTACACTGAACATGTACATGATCATGCCCTAATAATCAAATGCCGTAATGTCAAATACTAATTTATTATTGTGTGATGAATTTAACTGGATCAGTGGTAACATGTGATATTAATATTCCATCAATTTCTTTCCTGGTTGGTCCATCCATGTCTACAAAATGAAAATAATACAATTAAAATGGAGCATAGAACAATTCTTCATTTCAGACTAGAGCTGTGGAAATCTAGATTTTCCCAATCATTATAGACTTGAGTTGGTCTCATGTTTTACACTATTCTCTTGGGTCAACGTCACAGCTCATACCATACACTAACAAGACCAGCTTGCCCCCCGCCGGAGCGCCTGGATTTTGGTTATATCATCTAACATGTCCAACTCTGCTCTTAAGTAAACAAGAACCTAATCAGCGAGGGGTCCTTTATCATCCCTATGTGGCTGCTTATAAAAATCTGATATCTTTTCCCAAAGACCTGGTTAATAATATATTTTCTGCTGAATATTCGAAACAAATAGAGTGAGTTGGTACTACATGTACATATGTATACGGTTCTATTTTAAATGACTGCAGCGCTCCATTATGAAAACAATTTGTTTTAACGCCGCTCTCAGCAGTATTCCATGGGAAGGCACGGCGTCGGCTGGCGAGCAAGGGTGGTGGTGGAAGCTGGAGCTTACTGTTTCTCCCCAGCCAGGAGCCTCCTGTCTAGGTCAAGCTCCCCTGGATGGAGAGCTTGGAACAGTGCGGTGGTGAGGCGGGCGGCGGCGTTGGTGATGAAGAGGGGGCTGACTTGAAGATCGCAGTCGACCAGGAAATCCGAGAGATCCTGGTAGCTGCGGATTTCATGTTCAAATCTCTCTTCTCCCCAGTACAGCACCAGCACCATGGGTGGGCGTGGGCGGTTGCTGGGGTATACCTTGCCGCTGTCATGGTAGCGGGGGTTAGGGTGGACCTTGTGCTGCTCCAGGATGAGGCTGGCCTTCTGGGCAAGGTCGACACGGACGACTTCCTCAACAACTGGTTCCGGAACCGGGTTGGTTTGGACTTGGCTGGTGTTGAGGGAGGGGCCTGGTGTTACAGTGGTCTGTGTTTCCGTGGTCTTGCTTGTAGGTGGTGATGGGAGGGGGGGGGGGGGGGGGGGGGGGGTGGAGTCAGCGGAGAAGATACTTTTCCTCTTTCTATTCTTCCTTCCCTGTCCTGTCCCTACACGTCCTGGATTCGAGTGGAGCGAGTTCCAATGCTGCTGTTGGGGGCGGAGGGGTGGTGGGTAGGCTCTCCTGGATCTCCATGGCGGCGACTGGTGGAGCCTTCTTCACTTCTGGCGGCCTGGCCTTCTGTACCGGGCGTGGTTCAGCAAGGATAGGGGCCGGGGTGGTTTTCTCCTTAGGCTTGGTCTTGGCCGGAGCTTTGACCAGAGGCCTTTTCCTTTGACCTAAGTCAAAGGAGATGGAAAGGGTGGAGGAGTTGGACTTGTAGGAAGTCCCGAGGGAGTAGTCCCCAACCCTGAAAGCTAGCAATGGCTCCAAGATGGCAACTAGCTCCCTCGGTAGCGACAGAGCGATGTCTCTCATAGTTGAGCGTGGGTAGCGAGCTTGGAAGGACACGTCTGCACGGGGCGAGTGTCCAAGCCGAGATGACTGTGTATTGACTGTGTGTATTCTTTGATTAGAATGCTTCTCACCGACCTTGGCGTGTAGGGGTGTGATGTCCTGGGCAGGAAACGACAGTGTTTTGACTACTCATCATTAATTAACGTGTTGGGCATCCCTAATTAACCTTTACTAATTCGTGTTAAACCAACACAGGATGTTTTCTGGAAGTGGATATTCGCAAATGTCAAAGGACTGACACGACACGTGTTAATAACTGTCCTAGCACTTCTCAAGTTCCTAAGATTCTTTATATCTAAAGATTAGTATTATATCTTATTATATACCACTTTATTGTCTCATATTTCAGTAGTTAAAGAAAACACAGAGCTCAAAGTGAAGCCTTTTTCACTCTACATTCTCAACATAGTCTCTATCAGAAGTGTTTGGCTTGTGTTGGGTCCGACTTGGCCCGGGCTGTCAAAATCAACTTTAAACACATAGAATTATAATCAAATGTGTTTACATCTATAGATCAGTGTTATATGTACCTATATACCACTTTATAATATATCAGTACATCGTATTTAAAGAAAACAAGGTGCTCAAAGTGAAGCCCTTTTCCCTCTACATCCTAGACATAGTCTCTATCAGAAGTGTTTTGCTTGTGTTGGGTCCGACTTGGCCCGGGCTGTCAAAATGCACTTTAAACACACAAATGATTCATCAAATGTCTTTAAATATATAGACTAGCATTATATCTACCTATACACAACTTTATAGTGTCTCAGTTCGCTGTATTTAAAGAAAACAAGGTGCTCAAAGTGAAGCCCTTTTCCCTCTACATTCTCAACATAGCCTCTATCAGAAGTGTTTGGCTTGTGTTAGGTCCGACTTGGTCCGGGCTGTCAAAATCTTC